TTATTATGAAATTATTATTTTGGGTATGAAATTTGTACATTGTATCTGACAGCCATACATTGTATGTATCTGTTTTACCTATAAAATAACATGAATTCATCTAATTGATAAGCTTACTTATGGGTTCGCTGCAGTTGGACTTCTTTGGGTGCCCATTTCAATATTGGTCCAACATTACTTCATCTACTGTTCCTATGAAGCTTTATCCAATAGCTGCCGCTAATGTAATAGTTTATTGTACAATGTGATTTCCCCATGTTTTTTTCCCTTTTGTTTTGGAAAAGAAATTGTATTCTATTTCATATGTATTTTGGGAATAATGAATGGTGGATGGGGGAAGGGTAAAGTAAATGTAAAATAGGTTTGTGAAATTGAATCTGTATGTACTGGAGATGTTCACCAGATGATGGGGTAAACTGAGGAATCGGAAACTGGATAAAAAATAAGGTAATATCTCTCTTATTCCTATATAGATTGTTTAGATTAAAACATTATTTAATTTCTCTATTTTGTGCAACAGTTTTCAGTTATTGAAGTGGGTGAACAATATCAACAAAAGAGGCGCATTTGGTAGACAGATTCATTGAGAAAAACACCAAGCAGGTAATTTTTATGAATTAAACATTTTTTTAAAATAATTCCATATTTACATTAAGACCATGATTAAACAATTATATTATGTGTAACTAAACTAATGTCTCAATTGAATTTTGCATGTTTTAATGACCGAGGGTGATGCCAAGAAAGTCCAAAAGGATATGACTTCACAACAAATTGACAGGTAAGACAAAGGTAAATCTAAAATGTTTACATGTTTCTTTCAAAATTTCTCAATCCCTAATTGCTTTGTCAATGCAAAAACATTATGGCATATAGAAGATGAGTAGGGTGCTGAACATAAAATACACATATCATATTATAAACTAATAGAAAAAAACAGAAAATAACTCTCAATGCCTAATTGCTTTGTCAATGCAAAAACATTATGGCATATAGAAGATGAGTAGGGTGCTGAACATAAAATACACATATCATATTATAAACTAATAGAAAAAACAGAAAATAACTCTCAAGTTAGAAGGATTACTTGAATTGGAAAATGCATTATCGATCATCATGGTTTGTGTTATTGGCCGACCTCTGTCATCTCTATTAGTAGATCCACGATTCTCTGTGTTAGTGTTCTTCTGTTCATGAATGTTGCTGACTTGATTGCTTGATGTTTGTTTTCTTTTGGCTGCTTTCTGTTTCATTCTGTCGACTGATTCGCCTCTTGTTCTTTGGTGAAAATTGAAATCCAAGTCGTATATTGAACAGTTTTGAAAAAGAAGTAAACAAATAGAGAATGACGATATATAATTCTGCTTAGGAGAAGAATCTATAGAGTTAAATAGATAATAACGATTCTGTTAGATATGGATGAGGTTGAAAGAGTTTGAAATAAAGAAAACACTGATTTACATTGACTTATTAATCTAATATATATACGCACATGCATCTATTTAGAAGTTCAGTTTAAATTTTCAATCCACACGTTATCTTATTAGTTAAGAGAATATTTATAAAATCTTAATAGTTTTTTAATCTATTTCCAAAAGGTAATATAAATATGATTAATATCTATACTTATAAATAAGTTCTTTAGTTATGATAGAAAATACTGATATACATAGACTTATTAAAATTATGATATTTGCACGTCCATCTATTTGGAAATATAATATAAAATATTCAATGCCCACGATATTACATAAGTTAATAGAATTTTTATAAAATCTGTATTTTTTTAAATCTATATCGAAAAGATGATATAAATATGATCAATATCTATACTTATAATTAAATTTTAATAATATTAGAGAATGGTTAGTCCATAGATGTAAGTAATTTCATTTATATATTGTTATGCTACATAGGTTATTGAATTTTGCTTTTTATATTTTTATATTATGCTTGCGATATAAGATGGTGGATGTGAATGAGCTTCGATTTGACATCTATATTATATATAAAAAATAAATAGATAATTTTATTTATCTTTATAATTAAAATTATTATACCATTAATATTAATTTGAAAATATAAAATTATTTAAACTAACTTAACTACAAAGTAGTTATCTGATATAAATTAAAAATAATGTTATAATATAAATAGTAAGTCAAGTAAGTGACGGTGTCATTTTAAATATAAATAATAATATATTTTTCCAAAAAATATTTTAAAAACAAAAACAATTTATATTGTTATTATTATTTCATTTTAAATATAATTTCTTAACAAGTATCCGTGTAGTACACTGTACACGGGTATTATACTAGTGTAAATTATATTATAATATTTGTTTTAATATGCACTTTTTAATAAAAATATATATTTGTGTAACCATTTGGCGGTTTAACCAGTATATGGTATACAATATATATAATTATATATACACACACATTAAGTAAGCAAATGAAATGCATTTTTTTTTTTAGCTTACTGTTGGCCTGGGCTAAGTGGGTAAAGGCAGGCATGATATGTTTGTCGAGGCCATTAAGAGTGATATAGTTTGAGAAATGTTAGAATATTATTTGTGAGTTGTCTCACATTGTTAATACATGAAAAATATATCCACCTTATAAGACTAATGAGCTACTCTTCCTTCCACCAATTAATTTGGGATGAAACCCCACTTGGGCTTTATGGGCTTTTCCCGGTTTTCTTACATGAAAATTAGACCCACCTTATAAGACTAATGGACTACTCCTTCCACCAATTAGTTTTGGGATGGAATCCCACTTGGACTTCATATGAGTTTTTCTCCTTTTTTCACGTGCGTTTTATGGTAGTGTTTCATGGTAGTGAGGGGCGTAGCTACTTGAGAACCAGAGTGGGCCTAGGCCCACACTCAAAAATACAAAGTGAACATAAAATTCTCAAGGGTCCTAGTAACTTAAGTAACATAAGCTTATTTCAAAAACATGGTAAGAAAAGTAGATTTAGGAAGAAGAGAGAAAAAAAAATATATATATATATAATAAAAATAAGTTGAAAATATATTTCTTTTTTCAATAATTCTTGAAAATAATGGAATATAACTCTTATTTTATACTTCACTTCATTTATTGATTGGTAATTTACTAATTTTAATTTTCCCGATATTATATGCTATTCAATTAATTTGTTTGTAATTAATATCTGATAATTAGTCCCTTTGATTGCTTTTCTTTCTATTAGGTCAACAAATATGGTTTGAATATTGTATTTATTGTTGTTTTTAAATCTAAGAGAAATTTGTAATAGATATTTATTAATGTATAGGTGTTAAAATAGTAAGATATGTTTAATTTGAATGTATAATTATTTTTTTCAAAACTTTCATAGAGCGGATGAATAAAACCTTTAAAATGGCCATATCAAGAAAATGTGAAATTATTATTGTCTTGAAAATTTTATGTATTTTCTTTTTATTTTTTACTTAAAATATTATTTTTATTTCTTTTTGTCTTTGATTTTTACTTATAAAAGATAATGTTACGCTACCTTATAAATTTTAGGCCCCTACTCATATAGATTGCTAGATTCGCCCCTGATAGTAGTGGATCCGCACCCGTTTTACCCGTTTCTGTGTCAAGAAAGTTGGGACGTGCCCTTTTTTTTTTTTTTTTGATNTGAGACGTGCCTTTTTAATTTCATTTGTGATGGAATGCTTCTTTCCAAATTTTTTATAAAAATCAACCTTACAGTGGGTTGGAAGCTTGGAAGTATTAACAAAATATATTTGAACGAGCCTTTCATAAAAATCTCTCCACTTGACAAGAAATTTAAGAGAATAAAATTTGTGGCCGTGTAACTTTGGTTTTGTTGTTCCGTGTAAATTAAACTAAATTAAATTTGTGACAAAGTGAAAATATAAACAGAAAGTTGAAAAGTTTAACAAACGCATCATATAAGGAATATTTATTAAATATTTTAATGCCAATTCAGCTGACGAGTTGCGAATTGGAATTACTATTTAGTTCATTGAATCAACTATGAGTCATCAATATATAAAAAAATTTAAAAACAAGAAAAAATGTGGATAAGTTCCAGTATGATGCCCGTGAAAGAAATTTGAATAAATTTTGGTCATCAGATCAGACGATTTAACAATAAAAAAACCAATATTTTTATATTTATTAAGAGTATTTTAAACATTTTCATAGCTAATTGGCCCCCACCATACATTACCTGCTACCCTCTCTCACAGATATTTCCGTGATAATTTTTGTTTGATTTCTCACCGTCATTTGCCTATAACTGGAAATACCGATGAAATCGAAAGCCATAATATCAATAAATTATATTACATGTTTTACCACATCCTTAATTTAGAAATATTATTAACTATTGTTTACTCTCTCATGGGTTCACACTGGTTTTTGTAGTAAATACTAGAAGGCCGACACTGTGCACAGCACAGCCGGCCCAATTTAGGTGAATGTATGAATGCCATTATGAATTTTTAATATTTGGATTTTATACTACACAACATTCATACGAACATGGATTATGTACCCGTGTTCACTAAAATATGTTCAAGTGTTATTAGTTATAATACACATGAGCAAAATAAGGTTGTAGCAGCAGAATATGCATGGTGCATGACTATTTATGTGATCAAGTAAAAAGATGAATGATTTCACCTCTTTCATATATATGTCCATAAAGAGGCCATTCATTGTGAATTTGGTTTCAAGGAGCGACATAATTATGCAACTTTGACCACATAAAATCAATGAGAAGCTTACTTTGATTCCCTCGCTCAAAGAAGAAAAACAGAATTAACCAGAGTGAATTGATTTGAACCTCATCTAAAGAGATTTAGCGTAATGACGATTGAAATGATTGCTAACTAATCAACAAATAAACATCAATATACTGACACCGATTTATATTTATTAATAGCTGAAGGATATGGTTGGCTGGTGAAGCATATGCGCACAGATGAGTTAACACTTCAAAAGTTTATAACCTGCCTTGAATGCATGACTGTTATCACTATCAATTATCAAAAAGAGAGGCTTTCTGGTGAAAAGAATTATATCACCAGGGTAGAGGATATTTGAACATGCAACAGAAGAATTGCACTGTTAGCTAACATTAGAGAGCAAAACCAAGACTACATTGTAACAAGATATCTCATAGCACAATAAGAATACAGTAAATACATTTTTGTAATCTTACCTCTACTTCTGCATGGGCCTAATGACAAATGATTCTCAAAATATTGATTTAGACCTCCTTATTATTAATATGATCTTCAGTAAAACCATTCCACAGTTCATGATGGTTATTAACAAGGGCACATGTCAAAGTGTATTTTCTCGACATTCCAGAGTTCTCAGCTTGTGAAGTACTACAATGACCAAAAATCCCTGCATCCACAACATGATGTCAGTTGGCATGCTAACACCCAATCTTAGATGGAACAAATTTTCAAATGAAAGGCAAACCTGAAGTCGACAAATATATTAGCATAACACTATCTGGTGGGCGCTCCTCGCAAATTGTTGCCATCACCCATCAGTCGTAAAGGCACAATAAGGGAAAATATAGTTTGTTAAAACTTCAATTAAATGCGACTCTGTAAGAAAATCGTCTATTTTCTAAAACGTCGTAATATGCCTTCAAACTTCAGGCCAAGTCATCAAGCCCAAATTCATTCATGGAAACATGTAAACAACCATGTTAAGTTCTGGCTCTCACCGCTAACTAATGTGTTACGGATGGATGATAGAGACTAGCTTTTTTAAGCTTTGGAGGTAAATTTGGGTCTAACATTTCTGCAATCAGATTTCATGCGTATCAATACCGAAGTAGTCGAATGATCAGCCAGTATGTCATTCTTTCTCGACTCGACAGAAAGATTCGATTAGAAAGATCCACAAGGTTCCCATTCCAAACGTTACAGCATCCTAAAAGTGTCTTGAGTTCCGCAAATTTCACCTGAAATAGCATATAGAGCATTGCTGAAAGTAAGTTTTTGCTTCAACAGAATATATTAACTCCCAAAGTCTTAAAAATACGAAAATAGAGCAGAAATCTATATTGTTGGTTATATAGTTTTAGCAACGAAGTTCATTAAAGTTCAGAGTGACATGTCTAATTACAAAAACTAAGATAAAACAAAGGTATAGAATGTCATAAGAATAAAATCCAGCTCCATGTCTCTGATCATATGAGGGAAATCCCAAGATGCATATACATGGGCAAGTTGGTTCAGTATGCAACAAATGAGAAACTTGTAACATTGGGTACAACCAAATTTTCTCTAGTGGAATTAGAATCACCTAAGCTGTACATACTTAAAAATATCTGTACTCATCTACAGCTGTTTGCCTTGCGGATCACGTAAGGCCAGCGAAACATAGTATGGATCTTGTTGGTGTTACCTCCTAGCTAATAAGTTTGCTCTCTTTTTCTTTTTCTTTTTTCTTTTTCTTTTTCTTTTTCTTGTCAAGCTTCAAAACTAACTTAAAAGAAACGGGCACGTATACATAGTGTTCAAGACAAATTTGTAATATAGTTTAATTCATCTCAACACAATTTACTGGAAAGCATGAAGATGAACAGAATCACAACCTAAATGTAATATTCAAGAACGCAATAAAAGAGAATTTCTCCTCGATATAATGTAAAATAGTTGAGTACACCTCCTGCAGTTCAGAGGTCCTAAATGTGGACCAATAAATCAAGAATTTTCTGTTTTTTGAATCACAATTGGGTTCATTTGTCTGAATGGAATTAGCTTAGTTTTTCAAATTTTGATTTCATTAATTAAACAATGTTATTTTATGCAATTGGTGGAAAAATGTAAAAGCACAGTCAAAACATGCAACAGAGATGCTTAACCTCAGATTAAAAAATGTTCAAGAACCGATTTCCCAAAATCTAAAACTCACAGCAACGGATTGCAGGCACAATAGGCTCTATCTTATGCTCATCGAGCAGGCCCTTGTACACCAAATTCTTCTCATCTTCATCCTTTCTCGTGTGCAGCCGGTAGTTATCCAGCGACTCCAGAAACATGTACAAAGTCGAGTAAGGGAATTAGACGTAAGAAACCTAAAATTTAACCTAAATTCGAAAAGTATTAAAACTAAAATAATAAAGGAAGCTTACCTAAGTCGAGTAATCTGCTCATCTTGAGTCCATACACTCCGTGCCATCTAGCTTTGCTCCATCGACCCATAAGTGTTGAAATTGCATCGCCGTTGAGGCTATGGCTCTCAAACCAGGCGTTAACGGAAAAATTAAGTCCCGGATCGGCAGAAACGCAATAAAAGTCGAATAGATTCGCATAGGAAATAAGAATTGTAGATTTAATTTTGGAGGCTCCAAACATCGACGGACAGAAAATCAAACAAAAAAATTGAAGAGATTTGCATAGGAAAAGAAATGGTAGATTCAAATTCAAATGGAAGAAAAAATGGGGAAGAAATTTGTCTGGGAGAATGAACGCGCAGGCCGTATGGTTGGAGAAGTATCAGGCCAAAACAACGTCGTTTTTATTTCGGGCGACGTGGCTTAATATTAAGAGGCGTGACACGTGTCAAAAGCTGAAGGCAACACCTTCTTTTTATAGATAAGAGAAGAGAAATAAGATAAGACTAGTACAACACCCATGTATTACATGGGTGGGGACGGTACCTCGTCCCGGACCGTTCATGGACGGATTCATAAAAGTGGGATCGGTATCCGGACAAGTCAAATCCAGGACCGTCCCGGCCGGCGCCCACCCCTACCATAAATAATCAACATATTATAGATAATTCGAACCTAAATATATTTGGATTAGAAGTAAACTAAATTTACCCAAACCTAATAACGAAGATATATTTTTGTCACATAGGATCCCGAAGCATGCGAGCCTGCCACATATGCTCAACACGTTCTCAATTAATATATAGGGGGATGTCAAATAAAAATTACAACGAATATTGGTTTGGATTACATTATTATAAATTATAGGAAATATGTTTTAGTTTAGATTACATTATTATATTAAGGGTAAGTAATATGATATATTTGCGTTTAATATAGCTGGACTAATATTTAATAGTTTTAGAACTTTTAGAAAATATGTTATGGATTTGATGAGCTAAAGAAAACATAATTATATTTAGCATTTATAATATGAAAGCAATTAATAAATTAATAAAATATATTTTTTAAAGTTATTATTTGATTTTTTAATATATTATTTTTTTTAAAAAAGAAATAACATTTGTACTATAGATACACACGACTAATATTATTTGTTTAAACAAAAAAATATTGAAACCTAAAGAAAGACAAATATTTAAGGCTATGTTTGGTAAAACTAGCTGATAGTTGATAAGCTAGCTTACAGCTTGTAACTTATGACTTATAGCTGAAAAACTAGCTTATATGACAAAATTATTTGATAAAATTAACTGATAAGCTAACTGGAATAAAAAATTCAATTAAACTTATTTGAAAAGCTACCTAAATAAGTTTATCAAATAAGCTCGAGCTTTATAAAAGAGCTCGTCGTACTAAACAATACTTATTTGAATACAGGGAGCTTATAAGCTAACCAAATAAGCTATAAACTAACTTATTTGTTTACCAAACACAGCCTAAATATAGCCTGTATGATCAATAAAGATTCAAGAGTTTTGACATTCTCAAAAAATAAAACCTAGACACAAGGCTGGCCCCACTGGCAGTTTATCTACCCACCCATGCCCGCCGGCTGGCCCCACTGGCCCTTCCCCAAGCCCCCGACTCCTCCCTCCGGAGGTGAACACCTCACGGCCAAACCAAATGCTTCTCCTGCGGCTTGACTAATTTTAAGTTATTATTATTTAACTTGGAAGATAATTATATATGAATCAAGGGCTGCAGCCTTTGATTTTTTTTTTTTTTTTTAGTTTTTTTTTTTTTTTAGTTTAATTAGGTTGTTGCAGTAGTGCTTTTCTTTTATTATTTATGTAGGAATCAATTATGAATCATAAAGCGTTTCTTATATAATGTTTTCAATTTGTAAGTGTTTATTTGGGGCGAGTTTTCTTTTGTTATTTATTAAAAATAGATCATTAATGAATAATAATTGGTTCGTTTTCTTTGATGATTCTGTTTACGTACAGATTTGCTCCTTTTCTACTTAATTTTGTATTCATGTACGTATTAGTAAGTGTAAATTTATACTAATACGATTTATCTAACTAGTACAGAGCCCGTGCGATGAGGTGCACAAATTTAAGGCTATTTATCCAGGCTTATAATTATATACATGAATAAGAAAAATGTACGGGATATATATAGTACGTGACCCGTGCGAAGCACGAGATATATTTATTTGGAGAATATTATATTATAAGATGCAATATTCAATAAAAATTTATAATACGCAAGAAAATTGTACAATGTTCAATAAAAGTTTTATAATATTCAAGTGGAGTCTTAAAGTCTCTTGTACATTAAGACTACTGATAAAATAGTATTTTAATCAATGAGTTTCCTTTCCTTGTAGCCAAATTGTAAATGTGATTTGAGGAGTACAACAAATCGATATATAGCTGACTTGCTTTTTTCATTGTAGTTTTTTTTTTCTTTTTTTTTTTATAATGAATTTAAAGATATTCTAAAATATAGCAAAAATTAATTTTTTTATTACAATTAGGAATTTTACTAAATATAAACTCTCAATCTATGGTGTTAATCAACGTTTAAGTCTAAAAAATTAGGAATTTTTACCTCTTTTAATCAACGTTTAAGTCTAAAAAACAATAGAGTTATTATAAGTTTTTTTTCTACATCTTTTAAAACATTAAATATGAGCATGTTAGGGCTAGCTTGTAAAATAATTAATATATTATCTCACTAAAACATTTATACTAATAAAAATTTAATTTTAGCATATAAATTTATCCCTTGATATAAGAGAAAGTAACAGTTTTACTTATTGTTGTTCACCATATAATATTTAATTATTATTTTATTATATAATAAAAAAGAAATATTGTTAAATAGTGTAGTAGAATTGTTATAAAATTATATGATTTTTTTTTTTATAATATGGATTTAATATTTTTTTATGCTTTGATAAGATAAATAAATCTATACTTAACTTTGACAAATAAAACAAATAAATACTTTAGTAAGTATTTTATGTATATACTAAATAGGAATATATTTGGTATAATCAAATACCAAATATAATCAAATAAGTCAAAGTGTACATTTTTATTTGGTATTTGATTTTTTTATTATTAAAATCTTTTTATTATACTTACCTTTTTAAAATAAAACAAATAAATAAATTAATTAAATAAATAAAATATTATAATACCAAAATAGTAATGACATTTAATGCAGTTGATTTTTCTGGATAGTAAATGTAGTAAGCAGAATCTTCTTTTATATAAGTATAGATGGTATAATACGGAAATAGTAATGCAATAAATACTGTTGACTTTTCTTTATACTAAATCTGCTAAATGGTATACCTTTTAATATAAGTATAGATTACAACAAACAAATACACAAAT